CATCTCTCTTCCTGTCTTCTCTGCTGAGTCCCCCCGAGTCCTGTTCTGCACATGGTACCATTTCCATCTCTCTTCCTCTCCATCTTCTCTGCTGAGTCCACCTCGAGTCCTGTTCTGCACATGGTATCATTTCCATCTCTCTTCCTCTCCATCTTCTCTGCTGAGTCCACCCCAAGTCCTGTTCTACACTTGGTATCATTTCCATCTCTCTTCCTCTCCGTCTTCTCTGCTGAGTCCCTCCGCGTCCTGTTCTGCACATGGTATCATTTCCATCTCTCTTCCTCTCTGTCTTCTCTGCTGAGTCCCTCCGCGTCCTATTCTGCACATGGTATCACTTCCATTTCTCTTCCACTCCGTCTTCTCTGCTGAGTCCCCCCAAATCCTGTTCTGCACATGGTATCACTTCCATCTCTCTTCCTCTCTGTCTCTGCTGAGTCCCCTTGAGTCCTGTTCTGTATATTCTATCATTTTCATGTCTCTCCCTGGCTTTCCCTCTGCCTCTGTTCTTGTCTCCCATCACAAGAATGGACACTCTGTGCCTGACATGCACGCTCACATAATCCCTCCTTTTTTATTTCCCTAACTACTCATCAACCTCGGGTTTACAGAAAAACAACAGCAGATGAAAAGAGAAAATCGAGTCACAGCACCATAAACAAAATTAAAGTGATACAAAATGTGTAGCAGAAGGCTTGCAATCAAAATAGCCTAATATTCAGTAAGACTCCATTAACATAAACAGCCCTTCTCAAAACTCAAAGATGCCCGGTATCTCAGCAAGATTTACTCCATTTAAACAATAAGCCATGACGAAGCACTGGGTAAAAAGTGTAATTTATAAATGCCAAATAATGACAAATAACATAAGTAAAATACGCTAGGTGCAAAAATACGCTTAGAAAGTACTGAATGAATTGACAAAGACACCCTTTATTTCAAGAACCAGCCAGGAGAACCTTCCAGCTATGGTGAAGATACGAACACTCGGTGAGTGAATGGTACTTACTGTGTGCTGTGGTCCAAGTAAGTGATTACTCGGTCTCCTTCTTCCTCTAAGCGTTTACTTACATGGTTAAGATATTCTGGAACCTTCCAAACAAAACAATTAAGCACATCAGTAACAAAAAGACTGCTGACATCATCCAAAAAATGGACACTTTGTTTTCCTTATATTTAATTTTTTTAAAAAGCAGCATATATATTCAAGTCAAATGTTAACACAGACTAATAGGGAGGGAGAGGTAGGGTGGAAGTGTGTGGGGGACAAGGAGAAAGGATCCTGATACTGACATCCATCCTAGAACAAGCGCCCAGGCTGCACTTCTTTGTCGTCCCTGATCGCCATCAAGTTTTGGGGTCTGTGCAGAGCCTCTTCCCATCCCCGAGGCCCGCATGGAGGTGAGCAGCACCTGGTAGGAGGGTGAGGTGCTAAACGGCAACCCTGACCGCACAGCTGGGTCAGCAAAAGCAAGTAAACAAGCTGGCTGTTCATGTGGGGACACCAAACATGGCTGCAGACCTCAAAGTACACCCACGTTTCCCAAGACAGCACAGGAAAGGTCTGAGACTCTGCCCTGGGTAGCTGCAGCCAGGTCCAGCATCTGACATGAAACTTCCTCTCCAAAGCCAGGATAACGGAACCCATGGCCAGGGTCCATTCTGGGCAGTAGCATGCGCCATTTGGGTGACAGTCCATGGGGCACGCTCCTTTACAATTTTGCTCTGCTGTTTGGGAAAGTGGGTACGCTTTTTGGGTTCCTATTACATGTTTTTTCACATGGCTTTTTTGGGAAATTTTTTTTCAGTGCTTCACACAAATAAAATTTTCACAATTTGTATTTATTTTTCATTTTTAAAACGCTCTCATGTTGCTTAAATTTGAGTTATTTTACTTATTTCAGAAACGATCTTACTGGCTTTTTACTTGTTGGGGGAGTGCAATAGTTTTTAAGTTAATGGAAACTAAATTCTTAGTATACTAAGAATGAAGCTCATTACTGGGGATTCTGGCAAGATTGCAGCCTTCAGGTTTCAATGAAACGTCTGCGTGTGTGTGTAAAGGCAAACATTAGGAAAGTATTCCCAGGTGCTCGTCCACAGAAATGAAGCTGGGGGATTCGGAAACATCCCATCACCTCACCTCTCTTTCCTGCATCAACCTTTGGCCTTCTGCAGCATATAAGCAATTAGTTTCTTCCAAAAATTTCAGTTCAAATGAGTCTTTATACACCTAAGAAATGAGCAGAGATATTGACCAATTTCAGTAAAGGAAACTATCTTTTCAAGTGCTAACACATCCCAGTTTCTGAGGAGACAGGCTGCCATGACCTGAACTTGGAGCTGCCTGTGGTCACCCAGCCAGCCCGGCTGCACTGTCCTTCCCAAGACAGCCAGGCAGTCCTTCCTCTGTCCTTTTCCTATGGTGCCTTGGGGTCATGCTGCACTAAACAACTTCGCCCTTTGTGTTTTGTGTGTGTTGCTAATACTTTCCTCCAGTGTGTCACCTGGTTTTGTCTCTGTTTGTGGTGTATTTTCCATGAAAAACATGCATTTTACGTAGTCATATTGATTCATCTTCTCTTCTGTGGCACCTGGTGTGGTGTTAGCTTGAGAGCCACTCGCCTCCTAGGGATTTTAAAAACTCCTACTTTCAACATGTTTTTGTGATTTCATTGTTTAACATCTTTGGTACAACCATTTATCCTGGAGCGAGGAGCTGGGTAGGTACCCGGGTATCTTCCAGCGCAGCGCGCTCACCTGCAGGTCGGACAGCATGCCCAGCAGGCTCCGCAGCAGGCTCCGGTCCACGGCCTCGCCGCTCCTCTCGCGCTCGATCAGCAGCAGGATTCCATCGATGGTTTTACTCTGAACCATTTTATCACTAATAATGTGGGTTCTGAATAGTTCTAATCCCATATCCCTGTACGACAGTAAGAAACAAGACGACTTAGCTTTGCTTTTTAGAAGTGATGGGTGAAGCTCCAACTATACTATTCAACATCATCAAAAAAATGTGAAATTGCTAATTCTCTACATCTAGATGCCAAGAATTCCTTTTTAAAAACGTCTTTTTGGCCAGACTAGTGTGCCTTGTATTTCCTTCCTTAAACAGGACTGCTCCATGTTCCTGGGGGCAGTCAGGCACTAAGACACTGCTAGGTCATGCATGCCACTGACAATAAAATTGGTATCACACAGTCTGCCACGGAAGCCCAGGGTTCTCACCACCTTCCTGGTGAGCGGCTGGAGACACTCAGGCTGTTGGGTACCACGACCCTGCCTGCCCCATCTGCCCCGCCCTGGCTCCATCTGCAGCAGCCCTCAGCGTGTACCCTCTTCCCCGTGTCCTTATGAAGTACATCCCAGCAGCTTCCCTTCCAGCCCTGGGAGCTCTCCTACCAAACGTTTGCTGCTTTCCTCTGAGAAGAGAACCATGTGGATTTCACAGTTCATCGCAGTTCTCAGCTCATGGCCTGAGGAATGTTAAGAACATGGTTCAACTGCCAGTGACTGTCCACAAAACCCATCTTATGGGCTCTGTGCTTTGCTTCAACACTCCTGCTGCCCCCAATGGCCAAGTGCTCCATTAAGGTGGGGCCAAAAATACAGGTGTTGGGCTCCAGTCAGAAATCCTGAACTGGCACCGCAAGGCAGGAATGGTGCTGGCGGTGGCAGTGGTAATAGCGGTGATGCTGGTGGTGGCAGTGGTAATGGCGGTGATGCTGGTGGTGGCAGTGGTAATAGCGGTGATGCTGGTGGTGGCAGTGGTAATGGCGGTGATGCTGGCGGTGGCAGTGGTAATGGCGGTGATGCTGGCGGTGGCAGTGGTAATAGCAGTGATGCTGGTGATGGCAGTAGTAACAGTGGTAGCACTGGTAGTGGCAATACTAATAGCAGTGGTGGTGTTGGTGGCAGAAGAGTGGTGATAGTGGTGTTGGCAGTAGCAATAGTGGTAGTGGTGGTGGCAGTAGTAATGGTGGTGGTGATGGCAGTAATAGTGGTGACAGTGGCGGTGGCAGTAGCAATAGCGGTGGTGGCAGCAGCAGTAATAGTGGTGGGCGGGTAGTGGTGGCAGTGGTAATGGTGGTGGCAGTAGTCATAGTGGTGGGCAGTTAGTGGTGGCAGTAGTAATAGTGGTAATGGTGGCAGTAGTAATAGTGGTGGGTGGGTAGTGGTGGCAGTAGTAATAGTGGTGATGGTGGCAGTAGTAATAGTGGTGGGTGGGTAGTGGTGGCAGTAGTAATATTGGTGGGCTGTTAGTGGTGGTAGTAGTAATAGTGGTGGCAGTAGTAATGGTGGCGGCAGCAGTAATAGTGGTGGGTGGGTAGTGGTGGCAGTAATAATAGTGGTGGGCGGTTAGTGGTGGTAGTAGTAATAGTGATGGGCAGGTAGTGGTGGCAGTAGTAATGGTGGCGGCAGCAGTAATAGTGGTGGGTGGGTAGTGGTGGCAGTAGTAATAGTGGTGGGCGGTTAGTGGTGGTAGTAGTAATAGTGATGGGCAGGTAGTGGTGGCAGTGGTAATGGTGGCGGCAGCAGTAATAGTGGTGGGTGGGGAGTGGTGGCAGTAGTAATAGTGGTGGGCGGTTAGTGGTGGCAGTAGTAAAATTATTGTATTATTGAGACAGAGTCTTGCTCTGTTGTCCAGGCTGGAGTGCAGTGGCATGATCTTGGCTCACCGGAGCCTCTGCCTCCCTGGTTCAAACGATTTTCCTGCCTCAGTCTCCTGAGTTGCTGGAATTACAGGTGCACACCGCCATGCCCAGCTAATTTTTCTATTTTTAGTAGAGATGGGGTTTCACTATGTTGATCAGGCTGGACTCAAACTCCTGACCTCCTGATCGCCCGCCTTGGTCTCCCAAAGTGCTGGGATTACAGGTGTGAGCCACCGCGCCTGGCCATAAAATTATTAATATTATGGTGGTGAGTGCCACACAGGTGTGCAGAGGGCCCCAGGAGCCACCTCAGTGGTGGAGATGTGTACCTCCCTTGACTGCCCACCGCAACGCCACAGGCCTCTCCTGTCCCTGGCGTGCTGCATGACGCCAGGTCTTCTGTGCACTTCACCACAGCTGGAGCAGGAAGGTGCAGTGGCCAGACTTGCAGGCTCCAGGCAGCTGCCTGTGTTTGAATCTTGGCCCTACTACTTGCTAGCTGTGTGACCCTGGGCAAGGAGCTTAACGTTTCTGTGCCTTTCCTTCCTTAACTGTAAAATAGGGATCAGATGTATTAGTTCCTGCCTGTGAAGCCCTTGAGGGCAGTGCCAGGCAGGTAGCCAGTACTCAGGGAGACTTAGGTCTCCACTTGTGTAACCCTCTACCCTGCTACTGGAATCTTCTCTTCAAAACAGCGGCCTCAGCTGAAAACCCTTCAGGGCCCTCATCAGCTTCATCCCCATCGACTCCCACACAGGCTGCTTCTGGTCATGCTGCCATCCTAGCCGTCCATGGCAGGAGATACCCGGCTTTGAACTTCCTGCTTCCTTCCTTCTCCTTCTTTCTTAGCTGCCTGACCACCCTTGCTCATTCTTCAAAGCACAGGCCAAGGTTCACCCTCAGCCCTCCTCCCCATCCCAGAGATGGACGAAGTGTGTCCACACCACGTACTGCCCACGCACACCTCAACCAGGATTCTTGTTATACTGATGCTCATGTTCAGGTTGCTAGCCTCTTGTGGTAGACTGGAGGTGCTATCATTTATTCTATGCTATAAACAATGTTTATAGTTTGTATGACAGTTATGGTATAAACTATACTAATTAAAAGTTTAGTGTTGGGCGTGGTGATTCACCCCTGTAATCCCAGCACTTTGGGAGGCTGAGGTGGGAGGATTGCTTGAGGCCAAGGGTTTAAGACCAGTCTCGGCAACATAGCGAGATCATGGCTCTACAAAAAAATCTTTTAAAAGTTAGCTGAATGTGATGGTCCATGCCTATAGTCCTAGCTAGAGGGGAGGCCAAGGCAGGCGGATCGCTTGAGCCTAGGAGTTTGAGGCTGCAGTGAGTTGACTGCACCACCGCCCTCCAGCCTGGGTTAACAGAGTGAGACTTGTCTCTAAAATCAATAATAATAATTTTTGAAAAGCGTTTACTATGGGCTGGACAACCCAGGCAGGGCAAGTTACTTTAACCTCTGGGTCCTAGTTTGTATAAAATAGGGATGATAATGGCCATGCCACACAGCTGTTCTAGGGATCAAATACATTAGTAGGAACCATTCCCTTGCACACAGTAAATGCTAAATAATCTGCTTTGATCACTTTCATCATCCCCAGTGTTTCCTGGAACACAGGCTGTCCTTTCTGTGCAGCACTTGCCTTCTCGTAGACCACGTGGATGTCTGGTAAGAGAGGTGTGGGAATTCCATAGGGAAGTCAGAAGGGCAATAGCATTAAGGGGATCAACAAGAACAGGGTATCCAAAATTGCACAGATACTGTGTAAAATAAGGACAAAAGACGCTTGCTGGATTTGGTAACTTGCAGGTCACTGACATCTCAGATGAGCAATCGCTGCATGGTGAAAGCAGGAATCACACTACCTCAGGTCAGCGTGCTCAGTGGGTAGGGGTAGAAAAAGCAACATTTTAGGTCATGAGAAGCCACAACATCACTTTTATGTTCCAATGTGAGAAGAATGAAACTCTACATTAACAGAGAACAAGACAAATCAGAGGGTGAGACTGGACACAGCTTTTGTCCAAAGTCGGCTTGCAGGAAGCAGCAGGACTCAGGGGTGGTCACAGAGGACACACAGGCATCAGCAGAGGACACGTAGAGGTCAGTGGTTGTGAATGCTGCTGAGGAGGGGCCCCAGAACCCCTAGTGCAGACAGTTCCCAAAAGATGATGGACGATGAGAGCTGTTTATGTGCTCAGGAGGCCGGGAGGCTGAGCAAGCCATTCTGAGGGGGCCGCAGAGCCTCGGGGCAGGGACCCCATGGACAGCAGGCGGTCTTCCTCAGAGTTTCAACTGCAATGCTGGAAAGAGCTGCGCCTGGCTCAAACTCCAGCTGTCAGAGAGAAACCAAGGCCCTCCCTCTCCACCCTCATGACCAAAGTCAGCCACCTGTCCCAGCTTCCCACTCCACTCCTCGCTGCTCGCTAGACACCTGGTATTTCAAGGCTAAGACCCACCTGGACTCCTATATTCACTTTAACAATTTTGGCTGAAGAAAAGAAGGCACAAGTAATCATACATGCTTTACCACCTTAGCCCACTGAAGGCACGAACGGGACGGAAGGTGTCAGCCGCAGGGGAGACGCAGCTCTACAGACAAGGACACTCACCAGATGGAAGGCAGTGTGGAGTTCTGAAGCACGTAGGTGCGGTCCAAGAACAGGAAGATGCTTCTGATCATGATCTGACCAGCAGAAAGGAGAACCATTTACTTAGGAATTCTACTAGCAGAATCTTCAAGATCGGGCCTTTTGTACTCCATGCTAGCTGTCTCAAATCTAACAACTGCTTCCTGAGGGGAAGATGCTGTACACCACCCTCAGGGTTGATTTGTTTTCTCAAGTTAATTTTGTCCCCTTGGTATGTGATTTTCATCTCTTTGATACCGTAAATCTGACTGTAGAGATTTTAACACACTTAGCCTAAAAGGATATCTTTTTGTTTGTTTGTTTTGAGATGAAGTCTGACTCTGTCGCCCAGGCTGGAGTGCAGCGGCACGATCTCGGCTCACTGCAACCTCTGCCTCCCAGGTACAAGCGATTCTTCTGCCTCAGCCTCCCGAGCAGCTGGGACTACAGGTGCTCACCACTATGTCCAGCTAATTTTTGTATTTTTAGTAGAGATGGGGTTTCACCATATTGGCCAGGCTGGCCCTGAATCCCTACCCTTGTGATCCACCCGCCTTAGCTTCCCAAAGTGCTGGGATTTACAGGGATGAGCCACTGCGCCCAGGCCTTTTTTTTTTTTTTTTTTTTAAGATATCTTATGTTCAGCCAAGGCCTAACGGACATCTTTTAAATTTGGTCATTTTTTTACTGATGTGGTACATCTTACTAGATTAGGGAGACGCACTAAACTTTAAAACAACGAGTTCCTGGTACATGATGAAGCTCTTGGACACGTCTCTGTCTCAGTGCTGCGAGCAGAGTGAGGGGACGCAGGATACGCTGCTACCTGTCCTGTGCTCCTACCATCAAGCCCACTACCTGGCTGGGGAGACTTGCTGAAACATCTTACCAAAACCTTCCCAACAGACACTTGGCGAGCTCTAGCAGCTAGCTGCCAGGTGTCTGGCCCAGAAGTGAAATACACCCATCATCTCCTACTTACCTCATTTAGAAAACAAAAGATTTCAACCTACTTGGGAAAGCTATTAATACTACCTTTTCTCTCACGTAAGTAATTAATAGCCAGGTCACACTGAAAATTTATACATGAAGTCAGAGCCAATACATCTACAAAGCCTAAGACGTTGGCTGTACAGCTGCAGTAAAGACCTGGGATTCAGGCTTGATTTTCAGGAGTATGCTGTGCTTTAAGAGACATTTACAGACCCACTCAGGCATCTAAGAATCCTGTTACCACTGCAGGCTCTGATTGTGGACCTGAAGGCCAGCAGAGTAAGCAGTGCCCTCCCACAGGAGCTGAAGAATTCACCTTCCTTGCTTTTCTCATTGTGCTGTTCAACTACAGCACTAACAGACAGTCCTAGACAGAACTTCTATGTCTCAGCTCTCAATCATGCGGGAGGGAAGATCGATGAAGCCATATTTTGATTAAGGAAAAAAAAGTTAACAAGCTTACCATTTGTCTGCAGTGGTCCTGCCAACACGTGTTAATCTTCTTTAAAAATACAACACTATCTAGTGAGTCTGTAGACACCTGCTAAGGAAAACTTGCAAAACACTGGCCAATTTATTACAATTTTAACCCCTTGATTTCAGCTACCCTCTCCACTGAATACTACACATCATTTAGTAATCGAAATTCTGAAAGGCTGTGCTATTAGTCTTGAATGTTCATGTCCCCCCTCAAAATTCACGGGCTGAAACTCTCACTCCCGAGGTAATGGTGTTAGGAAGTAGGGCCTCTGGGAGGTGATTAGGTCATGAAAACGGACAAGCCTCAAGAATGGGGTTATGAAAGAGACCCCAGAGACCTTCCCACCTCTTCCAGCACATCAGGATGCAGTGAGAAGGTGCTGGCTGTGAACTAGGAAGTGGGGCCCCACCAGACATGGATCCTGCCAGTGCCTCAACCCTGGACCTCCAGCCTCCAGAGCTGTGAGCAAGAGATTCCTGCTATTGATGAGCCACAGCCTATGGCGTTTTGTTACAGCAGCCCCAGTGGACTAAGACAGACGAGAAGTTCAATTATGGATCTCGGCATCTCATCACCGACATGCACTCAGCCTGCCGGAGCTGCCTTCCCTTCCCATGGCCACGCCTGCCCCTCCCTCTCCCTCTCCAGCCTCCCTTCCCGTGGCCGCACCTGCCCCTCGCTGCTCCCTCTCTAGCCTCCCTTCCCCGTGGCCGCACCTGCCCCTCC